GTCATAGAGTTGTTACCAAGAGATGTAATTACGCAGACGTTCCCCTGTGACGCCGGACTCATTTGTGATCTCCTGTGGTTTGTTTGGAAAAACATCCCGAACACTGATGATGGATGACTGTGTGACTTATTAAGTAGATAAAACCTCAAGTCGCTGAGCTAACAAGACTTCACTTAGCTCGCTGATGTCCACGACTCCCGTCATTTTAACTGTAGAAACTCAATTTAGAGCGATAATATAATAACGTGTGTTAGCGTGAGGAGAAGTGCCGACCTGTAAGTTTCTCTGTACAACATGTAAATGAGCTGGAGTTCACATCCCATCTCTACAAATGGACTGTAACTGAGCATCATCCCAATTATTACAAGCTCCTTAGAATAAATTGGGCATAATTTGTATTCACAAAGAAAAAATTTGTCTCGGGGTAATTTGTGTACATTTTGTTTCGAACACATCAAATATAATATTTCACTTCTTGAATCTATGAAATGTTGTTTGACCATTAAATCAAAGTCAATTTGAGAATAGATTCTAAAGTGGATTCAAATTCAATAGACTCGTCAAACACCAAACTCAATTACACACACGTTTTTTTTTTTTAACAGATTAAAGCATGTGGGACGCTCTTTATAGCTTCCTGTCCAAAAATACCACAGTAACCCGTAATCTCCCAGCAGCCTCCAGTGACACGACATAACCCAGCTTGCTTTTGGCAGAGGATTAATGGAGAGCTTTGAGAAATTTGTCCCACAGTGAGGCGAGCGATTCAAAAGGGACTTTGACTCCTGATTTCTGACTTCATATCTCTGACAGAGGCAAGGCACAAACATGACAGAAAATGTCTCGGGCTCGACGAGTGGAAAATTGGAAGTGCTCTGCAGTTTAGTGCGGCCGACAGATATTGGCAGTGAAAATAATGCAGGCTGTGATTGAGATTGTTCTTTTGAAGGCGAGCCATGAAAGCTGCCAGAGACCTAAATAATGCGTCTCACTTTTGAAGATGAAGGCTATTAGTTTTTGGGGTTTTTCCTGACCTGTTGTCCTTAAGATAGATGGACACGACTCTGGATTGTGCTTGTTTGTGCTCGTGGCTTCACTTGGTGCTTATTTTTGGCTTTTTATTCGCTCTTATCAGTGAAGGTGGGAAACAGGCAGCCAATATAGCTGCACACCTGAGATTAAATGCAGTTTATTCACTTCAGTGGATGCACCATTGGAAACGAGGCAGCCTGGCAGCTTATTGAAGCGGACGGAGAAGAAAATATTTGCTTCTCCAGTAAGATGTGTATTTATACTCTCTCTGTCGTAGTGTTTCCATAGTTTCTCTGTCAGCGCTTTCCCCACATCTCAAGGTTTTCTCTCTGCTTCAGCCGTGGCATTCTCATGAATGAGCGAGTTGCTCCACACCTGCCCGACTTTTTCTTCTCCATCCAGATGTGGGTCTTTCTCGTTCTCACTATCATTCACAAACCCACTGACGCTGATAAAGGTTAAGAGGAGCAGCCTAAAAGTGGAGCAGCGCTGCCCTATTTTACTGGTTATGGATGAAGTGATGGTTCTGGTTTATCTGGCTCCGCTGGAGCGTTCCCTTTCTAATGTGAAGAGGAGATATGCCAAGTAATATGTTACAGCTAATTGCACATTCAAATAGTTACCTGCACCAAGGGGGTTATATTTTCATCCCTGTCCATTTGTGTGTTTGTCAGTTGGGTTGTTTGTTTTTCGTTTTTTTTACATTTTCACCGATTTCCCAGGGAACAAAATTGGCACTCAGGAGAGAATATTCCTCTGCAGAAGTCCAACAAATCAAAAACAATTAAATTCTATCAAACACAAATTGCACACATTCATACTGAATTCATTTAATCAAAATCCATATATATTTTTCGCTGGGAAAATGTTGAAAATACCTTCCTATAACTTTCACTGAAATCCATTTGGTTGTTTTTGTATAAAAGCACAAACCAACCAACCAAGAAATAGATATTAATGAGCATGTGTAGTTTGATGCAGGTTCCCAGGTCAGGGAAGGGGCTCCGTGGAAACACATTTAGATGCGGATCTGGACAAAAAGGACTGAACCAGGAATTTGTCATCACTTTGTTGAACATTGTGGAATTAAGGCTCTTGGCAGAGAAATGTGCTGAACTGAGTGCTGCTCTGATGATGTTCAGGATTTCAGTTGTGGCTGAATATTGTTGCGTCTGTTTTCAAAAAACCAGACCAGACAAAAAAAAAAAAAAAAGGAACAGCTCACAAAGTGCTTGAGGTCACGGTTGGTTTCCACCTCACTCCCTCTACTCCTGGTAGAATTTGTGTGTGTGAGGCCGGAATCTCAGACTGATCAAAATGAACCAAAACCATCTGATTGGCTGAATTCGTCTGTGTTTTCTGTTATTTGTCTGTTCTCTGGGTTGTAAAGAGAAGCTATAAATCATTGAATCATCAATAGAGGAGCACTGTTAATCACACTATACATTATGTTGACTTGTGTACATCCTCTATAATTAGCCTGTGGTGTCAGACCCTGCAAATATGCCCATGAGCACATCACTATTACTACTAATTGGCATCGTCCTCGTAGTGTTTCCTTATGTTAATCGCCTGCCTCTCACTGCTGACGAGCCGAGAACCTGAGGGAGGCGATGACAGAAAGGTTGAGGGAAACAAAATACAGTGAATCACGTGACCTCCACCTCCACCGCTGAGAATGACGGCTCGCTCAGCAGGTGGGAAATCCAAAGCCAACAGCACCGAGTCACTGCAGCGCTCACACATCAGAAGAACCAAGCGTGTGCACAGAGTGGCACAGAATCATCTTTTACAAATGCATTTTAGATCAAAAATTAACAGAAGCAATGATTCTGTTAAATTATTGTTTTAGAAGACACATACTTGACATTTATGAGCTGTAATTAGTGAAGTATGGCGTCGTTTTTCTCCATTGTTAGGATTTAGTGACACATAAAAGAGACCGACTGTGACTCAGATGTTTAGATGACAAATAATTCTGCCTCTGTTTTGTAACGGATACATACTGTCGCTGGAGGACATTTGTTTGATTGTGAAATGGATTCGCGTTGTGCATATTTTCCAAGTTTTTCGTTTGACATTTATCTTCTTTCTGTCGTTGTTAGGACGCACGATGACGCAAACTTTGATTGTCACAACCTGAATGGCAATTTTTAAAATCAGAGACCGACTCAGCTAACATCTTAGTGAACACTTCATGAAGTATACATGCAGAGAAAATTGGAGCCCACTCCACTGTGAAATGTCAAGTATGAAGCATTGATAAAAAACACTGTGTTGTTTCTTTGGCTAATTGTCTCGCCTCCCCTTTGATTGAGCTACTTGAGGTTAAACGTCTGCGTTGGTGAGAGCACTTAAGTGGTGCAGGTTAGATTTTTGTAAATCAGGGTCCAATTATATGTCCAACATCCAAACACCATTCCTGATTGAGTGACGGGCACATTTAAGTTGTTCCTTGTTTAGTTAGCTCTATAGTTTCAAACAAAGCCATCCATCCATCCATCCTTCCCTCCATCCTTCCATCCATTAATCCATCCATCCATTCAAAGACATTCATTAAATATACATTTTTTAAAACTGTTCTTTGTTCAAGCAAAATCTTATTTATATATATATATAGTCAAGACAAAACAACAAAGCTGACAGAGGCGTTTGGAGTCTTAAGAGCTGCTCAAGTGTTCTTTTGACATTCCACTGAGTCATTTCACTCAATGTTAATAACAGAAATATCTTTAATGGAGCGTTAAGTGTAAGCTGAACGCATTGAAATGACCGTGATTTATGTGCAGAGGGTTGGAACGGTCGTATATCAAGACCAAGCACCTCCAGGACCTCTGCTTCTCAAATCTCACGTTCTGCCCTGTGCTCTGTTGTGGAAATAACCCCCAACACCGATAAGACAAAAGTTTATTTTGCATGAAGACTTCGTTAGGGCGGCAGTAGCTCAGTCCATAGCTCAGTTCCCGGCTTGGGAACCGGAGGGTGGCCGGTTCAAGTCCAGCATGGACCACAGTATGGAAGGTGGACTGGTAGCTGGAGAGGTGCCAGTTCACCTCCTGGGCACTGCCGAGGTGCCCTTAAGCAAGGCACCGAACCACCCAATTGCTTGCAGGGTGCCTCTCCGGGGCTGCACATCACTCCACCATCTCTCTCCACATTGCATGTCTGTGAGCCCTTTGTGTGTGTGTGTGTGTGTGTGTGTGTGTGTGTGTGTGTGTGTGTGTGTGTGTGTGTGCGGTTGTGTTTCAGGGTTAAAATGCAAGTAAAAAGTGAGAGTAAAAAGAATTTCCCCTTGAGGGATTAATAAAGTATCTCTTCTTCTTCTTCTTGACTCCTCAAGATAACAAGCACTTCTACTTCTGAAAGTAAAACCTGGCGTATTGTGGATGTCGTTGTTGCGCTGCCTCTGTCAAGGGGATCAACACAAGCACTAAATTGCAGTAATGCCTTTATAATGAATAAAGACAAAGGGAGAAGCTTGCACACTGTGAGGAGGAGGAGGAGGAGGAGGAGGAGGGTGAAACCTGACAAATTGTTCTCTGACATCCTCACACAGACCCATCACGGCCTGCTGGCATTGTTAAGAAAACCTCAGTGCAGGGAAAAATGGTGCTGAATGACACTGAGGATGTTTGCCTTGATAATGCCAAAGCCTGTTTGTGTTTGTGTCAGTAGTTGGACGGTTAATCCAGCCAACATCCCACGTCCGGATATCAATACCGTGTTAGAGAGCCGCGGGCCGAGACTGGCTGTCATGCTTGAGGAGAGCAGCCTCATGCTCTGCACTCTCTGCTCCTCACGAAGGCAGAGGGAGGGCAGGAGGGAGTGGACATGCACAGTCTGTTGGATTTACTCTGCTATTCATCCGCATAGGATCAGTGTTCCTGCCGCACCAGGACAAAAAGAGAAACGTGTTTGTGTGCACCGCTATCCTAACCCGACATTCTCCTCTGATTTGTTGTTGGCAGGATCTATGAGCGGGTGATAGACCCTCCTCAGATGGAGCTCACGCCGGGCAGTGGAGTGTGGCTGGGCCAGCACAGCCACAAGCACGGCCTGTTCAAGGTAAGACTCCACAGATGATGCACACACAGAAACACACGTACTTCCTTTCACGTAGCCGAACGTGCTTCACATTCCAGATTGCCTCGGATAAAAAGACCGAATTTTAGTTGTAGAGAGAGAAGTACAGAAGAAGACAAAAAAAAAAAAAAAAAGTCTCTTTGAAACGCTTATCCCCGAGCCCATTACAATGCTGTCGATTTTTAATCACTGCTCATTTTGTCAGGCTCCTGCATGCGATCACAGCAGGGAGTGGAGATAGCGGGGTGTCACCAAGACATACACATGCTCTTGATATTCCCACCTCTCCTGCCCACCGACCTTGCAATCAATGGGCTTTTTTATTTTTGTCTATGTAACATATTGATCAGCCACCAGACCCCGCTGCGGTGTAAATTATTTCTCCTCCTCGTGCTTTGAAACCATCGCTGCTGCACATCAACCCACAGTTCCTCCTCCTCCTCCTCCTCCTCTTCCCTCCCTCCCTCCCTCCTTCATCCGCCTCTCTCGCATCGAGACCCCAAGGAGCTCCTTCTTCTGAGAGAAAGCTGTGGTCTTCATAGACGCTGCTCCATCATCCACTTCCCCTACATGTGCGTGGAGTGCTCAAAGGTGGAGGCAGATGGTGTGGAAGTGCACGGGCTCGTGTGAAGTGACGGTTCTTGGTGGGATTAGTTTGCATGTTGGCTGACGTGTGCACTTGTAAGACCTGAGATCAACGACCTGTTGCTCAGTTAAGCAGAATGACCATTTTTGTGCTACAGCCCCTTTTTTTTTTTGTTTTACACAGTAATATCCTTTCACTCGTGCATATTCATGAGAGGAAATGTTATTCGTTGTTAAGTAGTAGCTCTGCTATCGGGCTCAGTGCAGAGGGAGAATAAAAGGTGCAGCAGCTGAATAGAAGCACACAATGGGAGATACAAGAAAAGGGAAGAGAAACACATTATTATAGCACGACTGCAGAAAGTCTACAAGACTTTTTGCATTTTAATCAACAAGTCAGTTCTGTCTTTATTAGGAATGTACAATATGATGACATATGCCCTCTAGTTTATTTCATTGTGCAACAAATCACTCGTTGTTGCAATGTTTTTATTTGTACGGCGCTTTGCATTTTTTCACACAGCACGGATGCAAACGAACATGAAGAAGAGAGTGAATGTGACACAGTTCCAAGAGTGTCTGGCTGCAGACCTCTCGCGTCAGGCCTCTTCCTGTGCAGGCTCTCGTCTCAGGCCCACCTCCAGCGTGGGGCCGTTTAGGACCGGAAGTGCRCGCAACAAACTTCAAAATAAAACCACCTCCAGCGTGAGGTCGGTTGGGACCGGAAGTGCGCGCAACAAACTTCAAAATAAAACCACCTCCAGCGTGAGGTCGGTTGGGACCGGAAGTGCGCCCAACAACGTGAAAAGCT